GTTTGTTTGTTTTAAAACAGTTTGGGAGGGAAAAGACTTCCACTGGAAAATGTCCCAGAAAAATTCACACCTGTATTTTTATTTTGTGAAAATGGTTGTTTCACACACACAAAGAAAAAGATTCCAGAGCCGTATTCCTAGGAATTGGAAGCCCACAGTAAGGCCTCCAGTGACTTTCCAAGTCCTTCAGGCCTCTGGAGAAAAATCCTTAAGAGCAGTGTAAGCCAGGGTTGTCAGTGCAATATGAGAACAAGCGGGCTGCAAGAGATCCACCCACCCCTTCCCCTCACAGTGGTTTATCCATGTGACCTCACATGCTCCTACACAGCAGGACTGCTGTTTTCCAAGAATAACCCATGTATTCAGTTAACTGCACCTCACAGGGGCCTGGTTTGCCCAGTCCTGTCCCAACATCTCCGCTCAAGCGTCATGTACAACTCATCTGTTTCGAGCACATCAGTGTTAACACTCAGACCTGAGGTGCAGAAGGAGTTGCATTTAGCCAGGGAAGGTTTAAGATTCCAGCTATGCTTCCAGGCTGAGGTCCCAAGACACACGCCCTGGATGCCAAATATGCACTGTGCTTTGCCAGTTTGTTTCCACTATTGTTTCTTCCCCTGTTGAACACTAGCCAGAGTCTGACAGTGACTCACATCAGCTTAATCCTTGCTCCAGAGGCAGGAATAATTTTATCCCCATCTGGAGCAACAACACAGCACCACAATACAAATGTTTTAAGGCATAAAGCAAAAAGCATCACATTCATGGGAAACCACCTTGAGGGTCAGCTAAGGACTACATTCCCTGCAGTCTGAATTTTGCTTGAATACAAGAATGAGACAAGCCTGTTCCCTGGGAAGACGTGGCAGAAATCGGTACGCACGCGATGGAAAGAAACGAGATCTGACAACACATTATTAGAAATCCCCTAACAAGGGGTTTTGCTTTGTTTCTTTTTTTTTATTGTTTTTAAATAGAACTTTTTTTTCTTTCCAGAAGTCATTATGTCCGACTCCATTAACATTCAGGTAAACAAGTGAAAGAACAACAGATGGGCATGATCTCGTAGCACAGGCACAGCCACCGGGAGCAGGGCTGGCTTTTCTTTGCGGCAGATGAGCATCACTCTCCCTCACCCGGCATTCCCTCCCTCTCTGTACCGGCACAAGACAGGGCAGAGAAAGGCTGGCAGTTGTGGGATCACAGCACTTGGTCTCCCCCCTTGCTCCCGGCAGGGCTCTCCCCTGATGGTGCCGAGGGGCAGGCGGTGGCAGCAACGGTGGCGTTACCAGACCATCCACAAAAATCACACCAGCCCTTGGTCAGATGGCAGCAGAGGGCATTTTGGGCCATTTTCAGTTACTTTAGGAGAAACCCCTTGAGCATTCACAGTGCTGTGCCACCATAGCCCCCTGACTTTCAGCACAGCCAGCCTATTTTGCAATCCACAGCCTATTTTGCTCCCCCACAGCTGTGCCCCCCTTTCCTTGAGGAGGGGGGCACAATTGCAGCAGCCACTGCTGCTGGCAAGCAGCCTTTTTGCCTTTTTGCCTTCCCTCAGCACCATTGTGGATGTGTTCCCAGCCTGCCTGCAGACACCCCCCTCCCAGAGGCTGGAAAAACCCATGCTGTTGAAGCCTGGTTCACAAAGCATCCTGGTGTTAAGGTTAACTGGTTGTAAAACTGCTGCGATTCAGCACACTATGCACACTATGAGAAACGTTTATTAAATTGATTTTTGTTTCATTTCTTAAAAAAAAAAAAAGGCAGAAAGAAGTTAAACACACTGCTTTGTGGCATGCTCCACAGTATGAAAAAATCCCAAGCATTCAGTTAAGCTGTCAGCGGCTCTGTTTGACCTTTCACTGTGGTCTTTGAACTTAGACCAGTTGAATCTCCTCCTCCCTAGCTCCATGAGGATGCTTCCCCAGAGAGGGAGGGGTGTGCATTTACAGCCCACAATTTCATCTTCAGTTTGTTTTTCAGGGGTGCAGAGGGGAGCAGGGCAGGGCCTCATACTGCATACACTAATGCACAGGTATGCAGGAGAGGGTCTGAGGCAGGGCAGGGGTCCTACCTAGTGGTTTTTTCCCCTTCACCTCAGCCAGCGTTGGGACTGACCAACTGGCAGAAGAGCCCTGTCATTTTTGGATCCCGAGTGCTTGCAACAGGGCAAGTCCTTTCAGCCTTTCAACAGCTCCTGCTCTAGTTTGCTTTAACTTGGGTCCAGCTTCACAGGAGGCCAGACTACAGGAGACCCAAGTGGGTATTTTTTTCTGTGAGGGTTTCTCAGCTACTTCATCATTCTTAAACATGATGGTTCCTCTCTTTCCCCTCTTCAACCCAGGGCTGATCCCTCCTGCTATGGCTGATGACCATGCCATCCAACGTGGGAACTCGCAGCTAGCAATGCTAAAGAAAGCGTTACTTTCTCCCTGAAAAACTAATTCTGCCCCCTCCTATGACTTTCCCAGCCCCTGGCTGCTCCCCTCCTGCAGCACCTTGCCTGCAGCAACCACAGGGACAGGAGGTGGTCCACAGAGTTGCCTCCAGTGCTCCTCACAGCGATAAGCCATCTCTGAAATGAGCCAGAGAGTAAATTACAGCTCGTGCAGGACATGGTCTGAGCAAGCATCCTGCTCTTTCTTCCTTCCACAGCTGTCAGACTTCCTCTCCAAGTATCACCTTCTCCCAATTTTTCCTGCCTGGGACAACCCAGACCCCTAAAGCTACGATGTCCAAGGACATACCTGACCTGCATCAAGACCCAGTCTGTCTTCAAACAGAGCTCCAGCTACTTAAACAGCATCAACTGAATACTGAACAATATAAAAATATGGTATAAGGAAAGAAAACAGAATTGAAATGCTTAATGGCGTATTTATACACATTTATCAACAGTCAACAAAAAAGGAGGCAAGTTACACATCCATTCTGTATGCTAACAATCCCGATGCACATATATGTAAACACACATGCTTGGTTGATGCATATACATATAGCCACGTAATGGAGTAGATGACCTGAAGGAGCCTCACTGGGGATCAGGGGAAGGGTTACCTACTGCAAACCTCATCTTATTCTCAATGTGCACAACGTGGACATTCAGGGCAGTGTTGCTTTAAGGCTATTTCTAAGGCTGAATCTTTTCTTGACCAACCCCTCAAACCAAAGTTCTGTTGAAGCGCTTCCTCCTCTTACCCAGCACAACTTGAGATATATATATGTATTTACCTATATACTTTTTAAAGGCCCTATATACTAAAAGGCAGAAAGAGGAAAGGGGAGAGTGAAAGGGGGGAAAACCTCTGAAGGATCAGTTTGCCCCAGTGCAGGAATTTCCTACCCCGTAGCGGCAAAGGCCACAGCAGCCAAATGCAGTGGACAAGGTCCTAGTTTAAAATGCTCACAGGTCTCCCTCCCTGTCTCATCTGAAGCTCTGTGTTGCACCAAAGGGGGAGAGTGAAATACTTAAAGAAACAGAACTATTTGTGAAGTGGGGAAGGTGATCATTAGTTTCAACTCCTCCCCTTACCTGCTTCAAGGTGGCAAAGAGCTGATAGATACGATCACTTCCAGCTCAAGTGCCTGTACGGCTAAGGAAAAGGCTTTGCTTAAAAATATATATCTATAGAACTATACATATAGATCATCTTTTTAGAGACACTTCGATTTTATTACACAGCTCCTGGGTCACTCCTTCCCTCTATCTACACGGTATTGGAGTGGCATACAACAGAAGCCACAAACGTCAAATTGGCAATCAAAGCTTACCAGGTCACAAGAAAGTATTTCAACTGGTGCGATCTGAAATCCTGAATTCCCTTGCTTTGATAAGCTGATCTCCTGCCGTTGAGGTAACTACAAGTGGAAGGTCTTAAAAATAAACTTTTCGTTAGTTTGTGTTTTGCAAAACCAGGTTGGCAATTTCCCAGCAGTGTTACAGTGTGTGACAACATGCTGTAAGTAAGGAAAATGTCACTGAACGAGACAGTGATGCAAAGATTAAATTTTAAATGTGTGTGCATATGGCTGGGAACCCCCAGGCGTCATCCTGCAATACAGAAATGTACGATTTCTAAGGTTAAGGACTTTTTTTTTTTTCAGTTTACTTCTTTTTCTCCCCCAATATTATTTGTATGCAAGCATTAGCTTAACAGTGAAAACTTAGTACAGAACTAGATATTCCCAAAAACATACGTCTGTAAAGAAACATTTAAGGAGGTTTAAAAAGTGAGTTAGTTTTCAGTTTGCTGTATTTGAAAAACTGGAACTAAAATTCACCCCCAGCCACTGAACCTTTAATGTAAGGAATCGACGGAAATGAGCCAATTTAGAAAGTCGTAGCCCCAGGAAACAAACCTACAAAAACAAACAAGCAAGCAAACAAAAAACAACAAAAAACCCCAAACAAACAAGAAAACCCCACCAAAACCATCTCCACTCTTCAGAGAGCAGAAGAATTTAAGCATGACTTCTGTTAAGGATTGACCCAGTGGTGCAAACAGGTTAGAGAGGAACAATGTGCTGGTATTTCCCTTGGGACACATTGCACCCGGGCAATGGGGGCTGTTTCCTCTCCTCCCTCCCAGACTTTGGACAGTCAGCCAGGCTTCCCTATGGACAGCTTGAAAATGCCAAGGAGTTGGGGTGATGGTAGAAAAAAAGATGAGTACAAATAAACAGAAATGCTAAATCATGCTTCAGCATCCAATTACTTATATAAAAAGAAGTCAGTGTTGAAAAAGAGAGTAAAAATCAAGGCAAAGTTTTCTGGTAACAGGCTGCAGCCTTCTCCTCTGTACACGTCCTACCAACATTCTTGTTGAGTTACGGGGGGTGGGGAAGGGGGAGGAAGGACTTGATCTCCTGCTACAGCAGCTTTCCCCATCACACAAAACTGATGTGTAACTAACTCAGCCACAGGGATAAGGGAAAGTTTTATTTATTTAAAAAAAAAAGTACTTCAAAATAAAAATGATAAGTACTGCATGGTAATATTGGAAGTATTTATATACATAGTTTCCTTTGTATTTTGTTGAAATGTCTCCTGGTCACTTGGTGGCACTTGGGGTCCCCTCTAGTGCCGTTCGCCCTGCTCCCCCCTTCCCCTCCCTGGCTCTCACGGCTCAGTAGACGGAGCTGTTCCTTATGCCACAGCACAGCACCATGCTCAGGATCATTTCAAAGATCTGTCAGGAGACACAAGGCCACCAGTGAGCCGCAACCCATACAGTGTGTGAGCTCCCCCCATCCTGAGATCCCCTGCTCCACGTTAACACTCGTATCAGAGATAAGGGCAGAGATGCTATGTCTTCGCTGCTGTTTTTGTTACGAGTTGGCCAATTCAAGATGAGATGATGTTCTACCCTCTCTTGCTGGCAGCAGCAGTGATATGTTGCAAGCCTCCTGGCTACCAGCTACGCAGCAAACGCTTTGAGATCCCTGTGGCATTAGAGCCCAGCCCCTGCATAGGCACTGTGTTTCCAGCCCACCCACCGCTCACTGGGGAGCAAACCTACCCTGGCAAAGAAAGCAAATCCCTCCCCACTGCAGACCCCAGCAACAAAACACGGTGGCCTGAGAAATGAGTGGTTTTGGAGGCAGCAAGGAGGTTCGACAGTGCTCTTTGCTTCTGGATGGGGTTGCAGGTGCTCCTGCTCTACCGTGCTTGCCAGGTGCCTGCCCTAACATCCCGATCCCCCAGAGGGATGACGAAACGCTTGGTGTCACCACGTCCCAGAGCAGCTGGGGTGTGAAGGGCTAGCACTGCACACTGAGCCACAGGGATGGATCCAGCCCAGCTGGAACAGGACCAGGGCACCCTGAGGCAGCTTTCTCCCATCCCACAACAGCAGGGTGCTGCAGAGTCCCACTTACCATGATCACAGCGACCACAATGGCAGCGATACCGATCAGGTACAGCTTCCCGGAGAACAGCTCGTCAATTTTTTTGTGGCAGTTGGAGAACTGAAGCAGAGAAGCACGCCGGTCAGAAAGCCTGCTTTCCCCTCACCCGCCTCCAGCACCCAGGAAGACAGGACTGCTTCCCCCCTGTCCCACTCGTGTTCCTGCGTCCTGGCTCTAGGACCTCCCATCCGACTTCACCCCTCCACACCTGCCAGCCCCTAAAGCAGGAACAGCAAAGGAATCAACGGAAACTTCCAACTTCCCTCTACAGCTTCCCCCAATAAATAAAATCTCTACCCTTTATCCAATTCCCAATAAAACCCTCAAATTTTCCTGACAGCCGAGTTTCCTTGTGCCATGCTGAGTGAAGAGCAGCTGTGCCTACCTCCATGAAGTTTTTCAGGAAGGAGTCCTTCTTTGGGCAGAGGTCATCTCTCCACAGGGGAGTGATAGCTCCTATTGCATTATCAGGACCACAGCAATCCAGCTACACAGAGAGAGAGGGGGGGAAACCACCAAGAAAAGACACAGTGTTAGCAGACAGCAAACACTCATGCAATGCTGTCCCCACCATTAAACATCCTTGAAGCCACCCAAGACCAAGGAGACATCGTGGAGAGGGAAACAAGGGAGGGGCAATAACTCTCCAAATTCATTTTTTTTCTTTCTCTGCAATGAAGCCATTTCCTACAATAATCCCAGACAAGTCCCCAACTCTCTCCACAGATTTTGTTTCCTGCTGAGATTAGTTCTGCAGAGCAACACTTTTCTTGCATTGAATTTTACTTAATCAGGGACACTGAGGTAAATGAAAAGCAACTTAATGTAGAGCTGGGTCCAGACTTCCCAGCACAGCGCAAAGGACAGAATACTGAAGAGGTGCAACTCTCTTTCTTGACTGGTAAGAACAGCAAACTTGACAGGCAAAGATCTGAATGTAGCATCATCTGCTTTAGACCCTGCTTTTCCCATTCATTTTCCTGATCTCCATTTTTAATTATCCTTCCTCCCACATTCTCATTTCCTCTGCCTGCAAGAAACTCCTATGGAGAGGAGATTTCTACATAGAGCTTGGATAGCAGGCAATAAATTCCCAGTTCTGAGAACACAATTGATCCAGTTTGCCCTTACGCATCAAAAAATCCAGCGCTGCCTTCATTCTCTGCCCAAGGACTTGTAATTCAGTTTGTTTCCTCTGCCTCGGTGGGGAGGAGCAGTCTATGCACGGCGACACTTGCTCCTCACCACTTACTGACAAACCACACACAGAAGTTAACCAGGTGTAACGTGCAGCACACAGGATCCTATCCATGAGCGGTTGCTTTGGCCAGCTGCATGTTGCTTGCAGCAGCACTGCCCATGACTTACCGTTTCATGAAAGGTCTTCACTACAGCTTTCCCATTGTTCGTCTCCGATTCTGCCATGAGTGCTTGTTGAAATGCTTGATCGTAGAACTGCTTCACGTCTTTGGCTATCTAGAAAGGACAGGGGAAAAATCTCCCTGTGAGCCAGAGGAGGAGGAAACCCATCCAGCAGATATGCCTGAAAGGAACAGGTTCCCTCTAATGGCACTCATAGGTAATTGAGAAGTTTTTAAATAGATTTGGGCCCCAATTATTTGCACAGGTGAGTGAAAAAAGGCCTGTCTTTTATAGGGCTGAAGTCTCTCCAGCTGTAGCATGTTGAAAGCAGCAAATATTAAGAATCTCATCCACCAACCAGCAGGTTACAGCCAAGCCCCAAAGGGTGAGCCACAGAGCTGAGATAGCCTTCAGCCCCTGTGGATTTGCTGTTGTGCTCAGAGATGCAGAAACAGCTTGTCCTGAACCCCCCAACACGTGGAGACACAGCAAGCAGGCAACGCGTTTCCCACTGAGGCTGCAGAGGCAGGAGACGTGGAGAAGTCAGGAGGAGGTGGGTGCGCAAGCAAAGCTATCTCTAGGTAGGGGCACCATGGTTTGCTGTCTGTCTTGGAGGGGACAGCAGGATAGCACACTAAAGCCTAGTGAGGGGGCCCATTTTGGTCAAAAAGCTGAGGTGCTTTTAGATGAATGTCAAACTCTGGCCAGGTCCCTAACTGGAGCTGAGCACCCCAGTCTTGTAAATGGTTATATGAGAAGTCTCATCTGTATTCTAGCCTTGCCACCTGGGCTGGTAAACTACAGCCACCCATGGAGGTCTGCTCTACAATGCAAAAAAGCCCCTCGTTTTCAGGGAAACTGGCCTTGTAGCTTCTTTTTTAACACCCTCCAATAATTTGGGAGAGACAGATGAAAGGAGGACATGCAAGAGAAGTAAAAGAAAAAAAATATAAGCAAGTACAAAAGGGAAAACGCTTTCTAGAACATCTGCTCTTGGCAGTGCAGGCTGGATTAGAAACTGCAGCAAGGCGGAGTGTGATTTCAATCAATTATCCCAGCATTTCTACGTCACTGCTCAGAAGTTTGCTTTGGAGGGCAGCGTTCTGCAATCAAAGCATTTCATTCTGGTACATGGGAAAAAATAAAGTAATAATCCTACTTCTTGCCTCCTTATCCTGTATCTAAAGCATCTTCAAGGAGGCAGGCTGAGGGAGGACAGCCTCCAGCTTCATGGCAGAGCATCCTGTGCCCATGTGAGAGGAGATGACTGTACCCCCCAAGGGGCTGCAAACCCAGGTGGAATGGATTTCCCTCCGGAAGCAGCTCTCAGTGGCTGGGATCATTCAGCACTTCCATCCCAGCCCACATTTCTCCTGACCAAGGCAGGGAGAAGCAAGCCGCCTGCCTTGTGAGCAGGGACAAACAAACAGCCCGTTCGTCATCGAGGCTGCAGAAGCAGCTGAGGCCAAAAGACTGCCACCCTTCCTTTTAAACTGCAGAATTAATTTTAAGCAGCAGAGGTCATTGCTCTTGTATTGGCAAATCCTAAACTTTATGATTTATGCTCTGATGGCCAAGCACATAGAGAACAACAGCCATGAGAGCCCCTTCCTTACTCAGGCTTCACTTTTTTTGGTGTCGGTTCAGTGCACATCTTGGACTCTTCAGGATTCACAAACTAACATCTGCAGGAGGCACAGCCCCTCTGCAAAGGTTAATTAGCTCACCAAAGTTGCTAGGAAACAGCACCCTGCCTGCATAATAATATGTTTAGCCACAGAAGTGTTTATTCCAGTGAAGTCATCCTCTCTCCAGTGAATGACTACAAGGGTGTTTCCACTCATGGCTGAGCTGGTCAGCTGTAGCTTACATGCATGTGGAAGCTGAGCAGGCCACCACCTACTTACACAGCTGGCTTACATTTCGTTGTAAAGTAAACACATTTCCTACTCTGCCAGAGTCTAACCTTAGCTTTGAGCACAAGCAGTCCCCTTCTCTACTCCAAACCCTCAACAGCTGAGTGATTAACACCCAGCCCACTGCTTGCTGCAGCATGGCCATGGTTCCCATGCATTGAGGTTTGCTCTTTGAGACCAAACTCTGCACATGTACAAGCACATGTGACCACAGCAAAGGAAAGGTAAGCAGCAAGGGAAGGTGAAAAGCTGCAGTTTTCAGTCCTGCCCTTTATCTGACCCCCTCCAGAGGTGGGGTCATCAACCAGGACCAGAGGACCTCATCTGAGCAGTCCCTAGCAGGGTACCTGGGACAGACATGTGGCTTCTACCCCTTGTGCATGCGTATAGATCAGCTGCTAGCTCAGTCCTGGCAGATGAACAGCCCAAAGCGGGTTATATGATACTGGCAAAGAGCAGGAAGCATCAAGCAATCCGGTTAATGTAGACGCAGGGTCTCCCCAGACCGTATTCCCTCCCTTCGGGACCATGTGGCCGGGTTCACTTTGTTCTTTGGCACCTAGGATGTGCTGATGGTTTCCCTTCATGAATCAGCTCGCACTGTGACCGACAGCATGGCAGCAAGTGGGAGACCCAACTGAGACAGGGCTATTTTTATTCCAGACATTGCACTATATACCGTAAGGGGCAGCTGCTACTATCAAGTGCTCACATTTAAAGTTCATCAGCCTGGCCAAGTGGAGTTAGGTGATCTGCCCACTAATCCAAGCCCCTGTGACTCAGTCTCGGAGCAGCTTGTGAGCAAAACAGCTCATGCTGGCATCTGCTGCAGTTCTGCCCCAGCCTCCCAGTCCCACAAACACAGATTTCAGAGTCGTCTTACTTGGTCTTTGTTGACAAATCCCCAAATTCCAGCTGCAACTTCACAGGCAAACAGGATCACTAGGCAAGTGAAGAACTGCAAAGACAAATCAGGAGAGGGACACTTAACATACCAGGCTACAGGCAAAAGCAGAAATTGGGTGGATAGAGCTGTGGAGCAGCACTTCTACTGACAGAGGAGAACAGAGCAAGGCATCACTTGTCTTCAAACCATTTTGCCTCTCATACATGCGCTTAGCCCAAAGATATTTTCCTACAGCCCATTGGATGCCACCCCACGTCCAGACTTCCCACTGGGATGGCTGAGTAGGGATCAGCAGAGCTTCTCCCACACAGGGACTGGGAGGGATGAGGATGCCCTGTGCATCACAAGACACATTGCTCCTCTTCACACACCTGCAGGACCATCCTGACAAGCTTCTTGCTCTGCCACAGACCCACCAAGAATGGGAATTGCCAGTGCAGGGTTAAAAGCACATTTCAGCTGCTGAGGAGCTGCAGGGCGTCAGGGTGTGATTTATGGCCAGCTCTCTTGGCAGCCACAGGTCCGCAAGGCTACTGCAGTTTTTTGCATAAATGCTAACACTGATGTTTTCTCACAGTCCCACCCTCCCTGCCATGCCCCCAAAGCCTCCCTCCATCTTTTTGTTCAGATCCCAGGAACATGTTGTGTAGAGGAGCTGTAAAGCTCACACATCAGAGTCAGGTGAGAAGGCACGGACAGGCACACTCCACACGCAGCCAGTGTTACCTCCACTATAACATCACCCTCAGCAACTTCTTCCTGGGAAAAGCCCCAGATTGAGAGAGTTTACATGGAAGTAAAGAAGCAAAAGAGGTGAATGCAGTTAGGAGAACACAAGATCACAGTACGAGGTGGGACAACAGCCCCTGGCTCCTAGGCAGTCTCTGTTCCAGACACATTCAGGACATTTTCTTCAACAACAGGAGTTTCCAGAATGATGCTATGACCTGGCTCTCATGTGCAAGAGCAAAGGGTTATCAGCAAAATGGAAACAGGACTATTAATCTGACAGCAGGAAAGGACTTCCAACATCCTTGTCCAGTCCCCAAACAACCTACTCCTACTTACATGCCTATTTATTCCTCATTCTCTAGGAACATCTTTGGAGGACAGGGTCCCACATCCTCCCAAGAAACCATGTCACCCCAAATCATGGGTGCGTTGCCACTGTAATTCTCTGGTTAAGCACTAGGGCTCACTCTTGCAGCGGTTACCCTCCAGTGAAGGATGCTTCATTTATCGAAGATTTGGAGGTACAACTTCCTGCAGACTCAGTTCTGCGAGCTGGCTGCAGCTTGGCGCTATGGGAACACGGTGGTGCTCCTGGACAGATGCAGTCAGATGTGCCCCAGCCCCTTCCTGGGGAGCAGAGCCCGCTCCATGCTGAACAGTTCCCTCCTGTCTTCCTCAGGTCTTGCCACTCAGCTTCCATGCCACCTTTGGCATCAGATTTTGATAGCATGGAGCTTCCTGGTACCTTTTGCAATAAGCCTATGGTCATCCCATCAGCTGACTGCAGGAGAGGGGAGAATGGCTGCTTCCCTCCAACACCCTAGGGATGCTGCCTGGAAATGTCCTTGGAACACAGTGGGAGCCTTGGCCAGCAGAAAGCGTCATCACGTGTTGTCTCTCCAGCCTCCTCTTGGCAAGCCAAGGTGCAAGCAAACATGGGCAGCACACAGCAGCTAGAGCTGCTAATTTCAGCCAAAGCAGCCGGTTTTCCTGTCGGGCCTCAGGTATGTTTTACCATCTGCCCTTCTAATCCTCTTTCCAACTTCAAGAGGGAGCAAGGGGTAATTCAGGTTCTGTAATCGCTTGCGTTAACAAAAAAAAAAAAATAATCCAAACCTGCCAAACCTCGCTACAACAACCCCTGTCGGATTTGCTCATGGGCTCCTCCTATTCTCAGCAGAGTGGTAATGCCTGCAAATTCCTCCAGCAGCTCTCACCCACCAGTGTTCACAAGTGCTTTATAAAAGCTGGTGAGAAGCAACCCCTTCTTATTGGGAAACAGAAGCAACTAGGTGTGAAACCATGTGCAAGAGTGAGGGAAAGCAGCTCCATTTCCCTCTGTCCCAGTTGAGTCCACACTTACGGGTCACTACACCACCACCAAGAATCTTCCAGCCCAGTGGAAAGTCTTTCCTTCTTTTTTTTAAATGAGTCTCCCTTACCGCCAAGGCAAAGGCTTTTGGTGTGCCTACAGTTTATACAATTAAGCTCATCCCATGCCAGAAATCCTGAGCTGCTGTCACACATCAAGGACACCTGTAGCACTTCAGTAACGCATTTTCCAGGATGTACCTAGATGTTCTCACTAAGATATTGTGGGAAAACTTTGCTGTTTCCTCATCCGAACAGATAAAAATAGTTGATGATTCCTTAAAAGAATTGGACTCACCACAGGCAGCCTTGAAATGGAGTGAAAGGGGAAGCTGTAAGGGACATCAGGTAAGAAAGAAGGTTTAGTAGGTGCTTGGTAAGACAGAAAGATCATGACAGGGCAAAAAAGCATGGGCTGAGGTTTCACATATAACAGTGAAAATGAATGGCCAAGAATCCTGCTGTTCGCACCTCTTCTGCTATGCTGTTGGCTTCTGCCTCCATCCCACAGCCAGGCACAAGCAGGAGCTTGCAGCGTGCCTGCCAGCTAAACTGGAGCTCCCGCAGGCTGGGCAGAGATGCCCTTGGCCAAGCAGCACTGCCTTGTTCCTTGCAGAGCTCAGCTAGATCCCTGCTCTGTGCTCACACATCCTCCTGGCCCCGGCTGTCACAAAAGTCTCCAGCCAGGGAGGCTCGACATCACGGTGCCAAGTGGCATCAAAAGCTTTGCACCTCTTACCGTTCCCAGAAGGCACTGAGACTCCTGAATAGCACCATAGCATCCCAGGAACCCCACGAACATCATGACAGCTCCAACCGCGATCAGGATGTAGATTCCTGCAAGGGAGAGCAAGAGACAGACGTGTTACTGCAGAGCTTTGTATAGCAGCATCCTAATGCCTGGCCAGACACGTTGGCTCCATGGGGTGGCTAATTAGGGGTGTGCGGAATTAAGGCCTAGGAGATATGAGTAGAGATGGCGGCAGACATAGTAGAACAACGCAACATACATGAGTCAGATCTCCGAGTGGTTGAAGTTGTTAACACCAAAACTTAAAAACCTCATCAGCCCCAAAGTCAGAGGAAATCCAGAGAGCTCGAGCAGTAACAGGTAGAGGACAAAGTCTTTACAGCATCCCCAAAGCTGCAGTATGGGCCTTCCTGTGGCATACATATTATTTTAAATATTTAAGCAGAGGAGATGAAAAATATGAGTTAGCATATCTTTTAAAATAAACAATGAGGCATATGGTTTATTTATATTAAACATGCAAACATTTACCCGGCTAACATTTTTAAAGACAGACAAGCCACAAAACTAAGGGAAAAGGACTGCTTAAGCATCTAATTTAATATAATCTGGCTTTTGTTTGTTAGAGGTTTTTCTACAGAGGAAGACTTTTTTACTTCAACTTATTAAATTTGCACAGTCAAATTACTCCATAACTAGTTCAAAGCTTGGAAACTAGGCTCTGTGGGGGCTCAGAAAACAGAGGAATGAAAGTTTATTCATCCAGGAAACAAGAGCTTAGCTCAAGGCTCAGATCTGCTGCCACTAGTAATCACCATGGTCTCACTAACCATAAGATTGGTGAGTCCATGGTGATTACTTGCCCAAATGCTACCAGCTCAGTTAAATTTGTTTCCTTTTCCAAAAACCCCACAGCTTTCTTCTGATGTATCCTGTATATTTAGGGCATTTTTGGTTTAACTAATACTCTCAAGTATTGTGGTTCTACTACTTTCCATCCAAAAGCAATTTGACACATGCAAAAAATAAGCAAAGAAATAATTACAAATGAGGCGAGACTGCAGTCACCATTTTTAACTGACAGCGAGAAAAAAAAATCAGGATGAGAATAAATGTACATGGGGCATCTCAGAGGTAACAGCAATACAGCGCATCTTGCTAGTGCTTGGGAGACACATCCCTTCAATTTAATGTTTTCTTTTGCTACAAGTCAAAATGTTTCTGTAGTTATTAATCAGTCTGTCACCTCCCCTTTCAGAGCACCACTAAAGTATAAACAGGGCTCAAGATTAGAACTGCTTGTACATGCCTGTCATGTTTAAGGGCTTCCTTATCTTCATAGCCTTTAAACAATCTGCTGATAATTAAAGTGCAAAGTCTAAAGGGCATGCACTGAGAGCAGTTTTAAGCCCAGTTAAACACTTCTCTAAAAGACCAGGTACATCATAACAGTCTCAACTTGCTTAAAATCCCCTTACTAACATATCAGACTTGGGAAAAGGGTCAACTTTGGCTCCCGCTTCTTCCTTCTTTAAAACAAAAGCCATCAGCATCTAAACAACAGAAGGGCCAACTCGGCGAGAGGTGGCAATGAAAACCCCACCCAGCAGCCCTGGTGCTGGGACCCTCCGGACGGATGGCGTTTCTCACCGGCCCCACACTTGCACAATGCCTCTTGCTATATTTAAGCGGTGCAGGAGGGAGGAAGCCAGCTGCGGGGGAAGCGCTGGCACAATGGAGCATGCTGACCCCACAGGAAGCCCCTCTTCACAAAACCCGATGGGCTCTGCAGCCAGTGACACCAACATCCTAACGGCAACACTGTCAGCAGAAGGGGAAAAAAGTGTGAGTTGCACCTCCTGATGCATGTCAAAGGAGTTTCAGCAGCGCCCAGTAGCCACAAAAACCCAATGAGCAATTGGGTTGTGAAGGTCCCCACATAGGGACAAGACACCTCCTTGCTTGAAGGTGTGACGAGAGAGGGAAAACAAGCAAAAGAAACCCCTCAGGAGAGTTTTTTGGAAAGGACAGGCCAGCAGTTAAAAGTGTTGTGAGCCTGTCTGAGGTAAAATCAGGTGATTTTATCCCAACGGCTGGAGGTGATGTGGGGTGGAGGGACTGGCGGTGGCAGCTGGGCCGAGAGCCAGCATGGCGAGCAGCAGGCTGGGGGGTGTGTGGGGAAGAGGGCCCCAAAGGGGCTAGGGTTGATGGGAAGGCATGAGTGAATCCTGTAAAATGAAGGCTGCCTGCTTGGACGCCTGCCAAACTGCAGAGAGACTGATTGAGATTTTCAGATGCTACATAACTGCTGTTTCAAGAAGAACAACTTATCGGTAGTGGTCTCTCAAAAAAAGGTATGCTTGTTGTCACCAGCATCTGCTAATGCTCAAGAACCAGCCTTCACCACTCCAGCTGCACCAGTGATGTTGCTGGTTGATGCTTTCAATCAAAACTGTGTCAGGTTTTACCATCTTACACCCTTGAGTGGCTCCACTGGAGAATCTTCATCACAAGTTCCTCTGGGAAAACCAATTTTGGTCAACCCTGAGTGCAGCAGCTTCTGACTTTGTCTCCCATTAGGTTAACAGAGAGAATACAAAGATGGGTGCAAGTAATTTCAACTCCTGAGAAGTCACCATTCATCCTAAACACCACGGTAGATGGGTAACAAGAAGACGCAGCACATCCAGATGCAGTGTGATGCCGCAGGAACCCCAATGACCAGGTCACTCCCCCAGATTTTATGTGACAGAAGATTTTATTCTCAAATTCTTCAAAATAAACACTGGAGGCAACTTCCAGGCTAAACAAATACAGCCAGGAGATCACAAAGAGCTGCCCAGGTTGGAAGGGACCTCAAAAGATTATGTGGTCCAACCTTTTGTGAGAAAGGGAATCTAGATGAGCCTATCCAGGACCCTGCCCAATTATTTCTTGAAAACCTTCAGTGATGGGGACTCTACTGCAGCCCTGGGGAGGTTGTTCCAGTGAATTATTATCCTCGTTGTAAAAAAAAATGTCTCTTACATTGAGACCATCAGGAAAAGATAAAAGCCACTAGCAGCTAGGAAAGTTTTGCTCTGAAAACTAGGAAAATCAAGCCCAGTGAGAACCTCCACTGATGGAGGAGACTGAGAGAGAACAGATATTTGCTGTTTTGTGGAAGTCTTCCAGAGACCTCTATACTTGCTTCTTGCTGGGATTTTTGCATCTTCAGAAAACAAAAACCAAAACCAAAAACCACACAAACAAAACAACCACAACAACAACCAAAAAAACAAAAACAAACCCACAAAAACAAACCAACCAAACAAAAACCCAACAAACAAAAACCAACCCAAACCCAACCTAAAAAAAACCCCCCAGACAGGCTGTGCAGACCTTGGACAGACAAGCGAGGTCCTGGCTTCCTGCTTTTCTCCCTGCTCATGCTTCGCCAGCTCCTCGCTGGAGCCAGTGTCACTATCAAGCAAGCAAACAGCAAGAAGTAGAGGAGGGAAGGGAAGAAGATGTGCACCACATGCAGCGTCATGACTGGAGTCCAGTGGATGCAACCAGTGGGGTGGGAGCAGCAAGAACGTCCAGTCAGGCCAAAGAGAAGGTTGTGATGACTAGGCTGAACTTGGAAAACCACAAAAAGTCCTTAGAGAGGTTTTGGAATAAAGGGCAGCCTCATCCACAGACACAAAGAAATGGCCGTTATGGAGTTACCCTCTGTTACCAAGACCCAGAGCACTACAACCTCCTGGGAGGACTCTGCTCCAGCGTGTACTTAAAAACAAGCACAAAATACTTAATGCAACAATAGTGTCTTGTATGATGAATGCTAGTGGTGTTTCTCCATGGAAATGCCACACTGAAGGCTGCAAAGGCAAACGAAGGCAACCAAAGTGCCCAACCACATCCTTTGGGTGGTGTTTGTTTTCCTACACACATCCTTCCCCTCAAGAGATAGGGCCACTGGGGGGTCTCTGCCTCTATACTGTGTGCCAAGCAGCTGGGGGGCTGCTTCACGGCAATCACAGTCCAGACGAGAATGCTGAAGCCCTTTTCCCAGAAAGCAGCCTGACACATCTTAGCTTTCATTCCTGGCAGACAGCGAGGCTGACGGCCAGCATGGTTTTGGGCTCCCTGTCTGTGAGCAAGGCACCTGTCATCCTCATCTTGAATGGCGCATTATCCTCCTTAAAGTCAGAGGAGACTCGCCCCACAGGCCTCCTCACTAGAGATGGCATTAACTCCTGCTAGCCTGTCCCAAGTGAGAAACTCTTCACTGAGGCAGCATCCACTCCTTTGGTGCTCCACTGGCACAATTCTGCATGAGCCAGGCTCCATCTGCCTTTCACATGCTGCTTCCCAGCTCATTTGTACTGCAGATTTCTCACGGGTTTTAATACAAAAAATGCCCTTTGCCATAAACACAAAAATAAATTCAGAGAGGCTTAAAATGCAAACCGCAGCGCCTACAGTCATGCTGCTCCCTGCAACAGCAGTAGGAGACAACCCTGGGAACAGCCAGAGCTGCAGCAACAGGTACAGTGGGCAAATAATTTCTAGGTGTTCATGGTATCAACATGCCTTCCACATCCTTGAGCAACGTTAGTGTCATACAGTTCTCACATAAGGCAGTGGTAAGTACAATGGCTAAAGTGGCTATATGTAACTGGCCACCTACGAAAGCAAGCTGTGAGCTGCCAGGACCTGTGTCTTGGAGCTGGGGAAGTCACAGCAGGACTCGCAAGAACAGGGGCGGGCAGTATTGCTTGGAGTCCTCTATCGCCCTTTTGAGAGAGAGCCTTGAAATGAAAAGCTTTTGGAAAGATGGCCAACCAGTCTTAGTTTCACTTTCTCATTACAGAGAGATTCAGGGTCCTGTCTAAATTCAAAGCCAGATTACAGCAACCATGACACAATCTCTTCACTCAAGAGCGTCAGGATATAATGCCTCAGAAAAAACAGCAGCAGTGGACCAAACACCAATCATCCCTCCCTGCTACAACTAGGGCACATGCTGCATTGAGCTGCAAGGACCTCCTAAACATTTAGCCACACAGAAAGCCCCCAAACATCAGACCCAGGAGACTGA